ATACACCCAGTACCTCATGTTGGACTGGACATGTGGCAGATATCAGCTGATGAATTAGTGACTATGTAATGCATGTCAGATAATCTTGAGCAAAGTTCTGTTTTGTCTCTAAATGTATCACATAAGATTCCTTTTATAGTGGGTACCAATATCATCTAGAGGAGCTGCTGTAAGATCTGAGGGTGTGTGGATGATGATATGCCTTTGCTGGAACATTGACGGAAGCGGTAGAGTGACAACAATGGAGAATTTCAGTTCTGAATTCATTTTCACAATTTCCTCAGAGTTTGTCCAAGGTATTTTTCTGGGTATTATGTGGTCCAATCTTTTCTTCTGAACAGTATGTGACAGCCAACGACTCCCTTACAAATGCCAGTTCAATATTTTTCAATGAAATTCTATAGTTTGTGGGAATGTTCTCATAAATTACAAAACAAAATTCTACCGCTGAAACTGCATTCCACAGAATTTTAGAAAGACTTGACCAAATATTGATTAAGAAAAAAATGTAGCCGGGCATTGGTGGCGCACGCCTTTAATCCCAGCACTTGGGAGGCAGAGGCAGGCAGATCTCTGTGAGTTCAAGGCCACCCTGGTCTCCAGAGCGAGTTCCAGGACAGCGTACAAAGCAATATAGAGAAACCCTGTCTTGAAAAACCAAAAAAAAAAAGAAAGAAAGAAAAGAAAAAGAAAAAAGAAAAGAAAGAAAAAGAAAACAAAGTTGTTTTTCAGAGAGAACTCAGCGGCAGCTGCTTAGGCCGCCAGAGTTGGTTGTGGCCATGGAGTGGGCCACTCAAGGGACAAGCTGACACTGGTCTTTTCCCTGCTTTTGACATCACCAACTACCTGATGGTGCTGAAGCAGCTGTCAGGGTATTAGGACACACATTGCATTCATTTGGCCCTTTTGGAGGACAGGGAGTGCTGAAAATTGTACTAAGGCCCTATATGTGGAAAGGGGTGCCAATAGCATGAAATAATTCCCTGTCCAACTGGTTGACTGCTATGCTCTGTTACTTTGGTGGATGAATTTTATCCTGTACACTACTTGCAGAGCCTCCACTGAGGTTTCTCACAAACCATACTAATATTTTACTGGTACCTTTAATCTGGTATATTGTATTTTTTGCCTATTTTTCCTATTTTGATTCCTGGCTGTAGAATCAAGGAAGTAATCAGAACTTGGAAAAAGTAGGTGGAGTCACACATGCTAATAGCTATCACAGAAGTGGCTGGATCATTACAAAAACTTTTGGATGGGCCCAAGGTGCCCATCCAACTATTGTCCCAATTTATGAACAGTTGTTAAAAGGAAAATGGAAACAAGACAGTGATGAACAGGTGGAGATGTCCTTCCCTTCCAAGATAACCTTGCTGGGGTCAATATCTTTACATTCCAGCAGACCAAGCATAACCTCATGTTCCTTCATATCTTTCTTGTGACCAAAAGGTAACCATGGTGACAAAGGATTTTGCCATGACTATGGCTCCCTTTAAGGATATCTTGAGTCAGCTGGGCCTGTCAGAGGATCCAGATGGAAGAATACCAAGAATTTGTGAATTTGGGGCCAGCCTGGTCTACATTGTAAATTCCAGGCCTGTAAGAGCTATACAGTGAGATCCTGTGTCAATGAAGAAAAAGAGAAAGAAACCCCCCCCCCATTATTTTAGTTCAGCTTTGAATTGCTGCCCATTCCTCTCCGATGTCTGACATTAGATAACTGTCTTGATTCATCTTTGGGGACCTTTGGTGGTGAAAGTAGAGAACTGACTCCACAGGTTGTCCTCTGACCTCCACATGCCTTATACATGCACAAACACACATTCATAAATACAATGAAAATATTTTAAAAACTTCAGTTGTAGGGTCTAGAGAGATAGATGGCTTGGTGGTTAAGAGTGCTGGCTATGTATTCTTCCAGATGACCCGAGCTCAATTCCTAGCATTAACATGGCAGTTTACAACTGTCTGTAACTCTAGGTCCAAGGGATCTAAAGCTGCCTTCTTCCAAGGGCACCAGGCATACAAGCAGGCAAAACACCCACATACATAAAATTGTGCCTAATTATGGTCCTGTGTTTGAGCTTGGTAGATTGTCTCCTCTTTCTTGTCTTTTTTTCTTTTCCTTCCTTCCTTCCTTCCATCCTTCCTTCCTTCCTTCCTTCATGAAAGAGTTTCCCTGTGTAGTGTTGATAGTCCTGTTTGTAGAGCAGAATGGCCTCAAAGTCAGAAGTCAGACATATGCCTGAGTTTGTCTATCAAATGCTTGGATCAAAGGTGTGTGCCACCCCACACAACTGCTTGGTAAATTTTTAATGCTGTGTCTTGGAGGGTCTGAGGAGAATGAGATGAATTGCACTTACACACAGGAGCATAAGTCTCCAAGCCTTGTGTAGGACCCACAAAGGGGTCCTAAACCGGGAATGCCCACTCACTGAGACACGGAGACCGAGATTTCTGCAAAAGCATGAAGTTTATTTCCAGCACGCACTGGGGTCATCTGTACTCAAGACAGGAGCGACCCCGATTAGCAAAATCATATATCTTTTATAGGTATTTCGAGGCAGATTCAAGCAACAGGCTGAGTTGGGTATTGTTCATTGGTAGCCCGAAGTACCCTTCATCAAGATTGGCTGGCCCCATATTCGGCTATTTTTTGGTAATGGGGTGGTAAACGTTCCTCCCCGCTGCTCTCTTGCGTTTAAGGTATTTCTACATATAGTGAGTGGGGGGATTGTTTCTGAGAAGTCCTCCACCGCCCTGCATACACCTGGTGTTTTTCACCCTGCTACACATGGTCTAGTCTGGGGGGTCTCACAATTGTTCTATTGTTTTTGCGCATGTAATTAGTGGGTGAACCTACATGTGAGCTGGTAGATGCTCTTTAGTCTTAATCAGCAGACATTATTGAGCCTTAATGTTACATTAGGATATTTTTGAGATCATATTAAGGTATATTTTCATTTGAGTTTGTGAATATAAAATAGACATCTATTAGTGGAATGTCTCAGAAATTTATAAATAACTAAAAATATAAGTTAATATAAACCCACTGAACAAGTAAAATAAAGGAGAGGGCTATGACGAAAGCTTTCACATATGGTTTGGAAATGTATTTGTTATGTAAAATAATTATTTGCAGATAAGTCCTGCACTTGGAAAACATAAGGTATCACCTGAAAAGATGCTGCAAAGTGGTGGAGAGTGCTCAATGGATGGAGAAGTATTTTCTGGGAAAGTTTTATGATGGACACCCATCCCTAGACCCCATGTCAAAGTTCAAGACAGGACCTATCATACAGTGTTGTTCTCTGGCCACAGATTTTATACACACATGTCAAAAATAATAAACAATAAAATTTAAATTAAAAGAGGAAAAGCTATTGCAAAGAGTAAAGGAGTTCAATACACAACAAATACAGAGTCTGCATAGAAAAAAATGATATAAAGGAAGGTGAACTGAAGTAGAAACTGTATCAGGCTGAGACCCTAGCTCACTTCCATGATGGAAGTGCCTACAGGCTGCAAAACTCAGCAGTAGATAGCACCACCTGCCAAGATGAAGACAAAGACCTATTCCATCAAAGTCCATAGTTCTGGGTAAGTCTCTAAGTGTACTAACTTTGCCTTTTGGCTTCTATACCTGCTTCTGGCAAACTGTTCTTGTTAATTGAAGTATGTCACCCCAGGACATGGTTTTGTGATTAAAAGCCATCCTACTAATAAAGACTTTCTATTAGCTTAAATCCATGTCTGTGCAGTCTTCTCTGATGAATATTCCACAACAAAACAGAATAAACAATGTAACAAGTAGGAATGAATTCACAGCAGCTTTCCATTGGGATCACTGGTCTGAGAGCTTTATCAGCAGTACGGTGCTCAGCTGTCCTTGTGAATGGGTGGTACTTTTCCTTTTTAGACAAGGTCTTATGTATGCCAAGGTGTAAACAAGGAGAAAAAGTAGACTATGTTCTTCAGAACAATTGTCATCAAGAACTTAATTCTCTCTAAATTAGGCTACAAATTAATGACTTCTTTTAAAAATACCTCAAACCCTCCAAGACACAGTCAGCATTAAGAATTTACTAAGCAGCCAGGCTGCGGTGGCACATGCCTTTGATCCTAGTAGTCAGGAGGCAGAGGCAGGCAGATCTCTGAGTTAGAGGCCAGCCTGATCTACAGAGTGAATTCATTCCATGGCAGCCAGGGCTACAAAGAGAAACCTGTATTGGAAATGTACCTCTCCACCCCCACCTCCCACCGTCCCCCAAAAAAGAAAAAGAGGATTTTCCATTTTGATAACTAGCAAATAGTCCAAATTTGTATGGAAAAATTAAGCAAGAGTAGCCAGGGCAAAAAGAGACTAGTTCAGGGAGGTACTGAGAGTCAAATTAAAAGAGCAATCCAGCAGGAAGCAAAGCTCCCAGAAAGAACATACTAGTGAATGGGACCTTGATACAATCAAATCAGTGGAGGAAAAGATAATGCATTCAAATTATGATGTTATATAAAGAAGTGGAGAAGACATATCATGCAACCAAAGGTCAATAGTTTAGCAATTTAATATAACTGAAGAAAATGGCAACACCAAATCCCTAAAGTTAGATCTTTAATATGTAATATATTCTACATGGATCAAAGATCTAAAGGTTACAAATAAGACTTTATGAACATCAGAGAGAAGAGCATTCTAAATAAGACACAAAGCAAAGACTCATAAACATTTTAAAGAATTTTTTAATTTAAAAATTATAATATTTATATGGTACAAAGATTTATAAATATGTTACAAGAAAATACAAATTTCTACATGTAAAAAAATCTCAGGTTAATATCAAAGGACAAATTACAAAGAAAATATTATTTCCAGTATTTTAAGAAATGTTTGTTTATTATTTTTAAATTTTATGTGTGTGAATGTTTTGCCTGCATTTATGTCTATGTACTACATGTGTACAAGGTGTCCCTGGAGGCCAGAAAAGGGCATTGGCTCCCTGAACTGGAGTTACAGACAGTTGTGAGCTACTATGTGGATGCCAATAATTGAATCTGAGTCCTCTGGTTGACAGTAAGTACTCTTAATCCCTGAGCCACCTCTCCAGCCCCTTTTTCTCTTTTATTCTTTAAAAGGCTAATGCATGCGTTTAACGGAAAAACAAGCTAACAATGAATAAAGAAAATGACCAACAACAGACATAGAGAAGGTCATCCTGGTGCAAAAACTAATGGCTACTGGATCTATGGAACAATGTCAGTACTCACAATAAAGCAAATGAAATATTTGCTACCAATTGGGCTTGGATGTACAGGAATGCATTCTGGTGAGAACGACAACTACTACAACTTCTTTAGAAACAACTTGTGAAAATATACACAAATTTTATAGATCTTGACTCTGCAATTTCACTTCTCAACATCTATTTTAATTGGAAATAAAAAAATAAATAAGCCAGAACAACAATGTGCAAGAAGAATCACTAACTATATAGCATATTATCAGTTGTGTGTATGCCTGCTTGTTGTGTACAAAGAATATATTAATTTTATTGTCTACAAAAGGATACAAACATGGTGGTTGTAGTTGCCTTCTGAAGAGTTTCATCAAAACCAAGTCATGAGACATCATGATTCATAAGTAACAGCCAACAGTTGTTAAAATTGCTCACATTCTATATTATCCAAGAAAAATATATGCTCCTCTCCTTTAAATACTTCTGCTATAAAAACTGTCAGAGCTCTGCAACAATAAGCTCATAGTAGTAACCAGTTTTGAAAATATGTAGTTCTGTAAGATAAGGTAAGATAAAGTACATACTTTAAAAGTAAGTAAAATTAGCAACTACTAAGGCTGTTTTGGTTTAATACTTATCAGCATATTCATACATATCTTGAAAAAGTTCTATTATTGTCTACAGCTACTGGAGAAGGGTGGGCTTTGAGCCATTGGTGGATTGCATTTTCATACTTCCATGGTTCTTTTTGCCAATCTTGATGCCACCTCAGGTGTGCTATAACAGTTGAATAATTTTGTCCTATGCTTTGTTTCCACATGATAAACTGCTTTCTATTGTACTGATGAACAGAAGCAGACACTTTAGGGTAATTTATGATAGAACGAAGCTTCTGGTCCAAAGAATATGTGATTTCTGGAAATTTTATAGCAATATTTGTTAGCTCATCTGGATCTGAGGAAAGATCTGAAAGAAATGAAATAGTTATGTGCTAAAATTGCTTTTGGAATATCAATGTGACAGATAATGTATTAAGATTTATTTTCACTTTTTATTCTTAGTGTAAGATGGGCAATGCATTCACATGCCACATAGTGATCTTTCAATTAGCAGCCCTCTAAGATGAGCCTTCGGATTAGCTGTTATGAAAGACTTCTTGATTACACAGCACTGGGCACGAGTGACTCCGCTTTGACTTGGTTAGGTTTGCTGGGCCTTGTGTAGGAGCTCTTGGATCTGATTTAACAATGTCTATGAAGGTACATGAGTTGCTCGGTTGGAAGCCAGGGACCCAGGTTCATAAACTTAAGGAAGGTAATCCTTTGGCCACTAAAGAATTATTTCTAGTTAATAACTCTGATATTTGTAACTAGGATGGAAACTTAGGGAGCAATAAATATTAACAATGGCCTTAACATCTATTTTATGTATATCATGGGGATAAAAGATAAGAAAAACTCTAGCTGGGCAGTGGTGGCACATGGCTTTAATCCCAGCACTCAGAAGACAGGGGCAGGGAACTATGTGAGTCTGAGGCCAGCCTGGACTACAAAGTGAGTTCTAGGCCAGCCTAGGCTGTTATACAAAGAAATCCTGTCTTAAAAAACGCCAAATAATAATAGTAATATAGTAATGATAATAATAATAATAAAATAGAGGAAGAAAAACTATATAAAAATGCTGTTTAGAAATGAATTCACAAAGAGTGAAGCTAGAAGGCATTTTCACAAGGTAGAAGGAGCTGTGGGTTTTGTTCTTAGACCCATGCTGAACCTTTAGTTTTATGACTTTCTAGTTCTGAACAGCTGTCAGACTTTCTGTGACCTCAGTTTCCTTAGCACTAAAGCAAAGTGAATGATATGATCTCACAGGGCCATGATGAACCTTAAATAATGTATTTAGAATGTACAGACTCTGCAAGAGCTTCTAGGATCAGTGAAACTTAGGTGTAATTAGGTGCTGACTGGTAATGGAGAAACAGACCAAATACTGGAAGATCTCACCAGGAAACATGGTTGAATGAGGTTTGGATATCAGGCTGCAGTGAGCTATTACTGGATTCCGGTGGTGATGTGCGAGGCAGCTACTCCTTTTTTACGAATAAACCCTGACAACTCATACCATCAAATGTGCTATACCATCAGCAGTCACAGACTAGAGAGTACATGTGGATTTTATAAATGGAGACTAGATCTAAATACTCACTCTAAACCATGAGACTGGGCGACTGATTGTAGTCTGTCCCAGTATGAGAAACAATAGGTATTCATTTATTTTAAAAATAATTGTTGACTGTCTTGAGCATTTAGAATGTATCAAGGAGCTTACCAAAAAGCTGAGGGTGCACAGAAGCACCATCAGAGTAGGCGATATACTTCCATTGACCAGTTCGTAGCATGTAGGTGGAGGCATTTGCATTGCATCCATGGAATTCACTTAGAACCCAAGGTTGACGTTGGGTTTTGCGCATCTGTTCATCTGCAGGTGCCTCTGATGACAGCATCAACAAAGAGTATCCACTGAGAGTCTGAGGCAGAGCAATGCCAGCAATATCTTCGGAACAAAAGTAAAATGCTTTTTTTTTCTAATTTATCAGAATTATCTCAGAATGTCATTTCTATTTCCCCAACATTTAAGGGCTGCAAACTAGAGATCATATATGCATTTTTTTGCGTCCTAACTGTCTAGACTGAAGGGCTCACTCTGTGAACCACATTACCTTGAGTGAGCTAGGAAGTTCTTTGACTGTTCCTCATTTCCTTCTTTTTAAAAATATTTTATTTTTATTTTATGTGCATTGGTGTTGCACAGGCACATTTGTCTGTTGAGGGTGTTGGATCCCTGTAACTGGAGTTATAGACAGTTGTGAGCTATCATGTGGGTGCTGGGAATTGAACTAGGATCTTCTGGAAGAGCAGTCAGTGCTCTTAACCACTGAGTCATCTCAGCACCATGTTTCTTCATTTCTAAGGGAGGTATAAAAAGAGTATTTCTATCTCAAATGTTCATTTTTGGTGAAAACTAGCTAATGTAATTAAATTTGAGAAAAGTGCCTGACACAGAAGGGCCATCCATGAAAATTCCTTTATATCATTAGTCATTTGTCTTCTGAACAGTGGTTTCTCAGGGTTATCTGATGAGATAATAAGAAGGCCTATACAAAGACAGTTAGTAGTTATAAAAGACTGCAGAAGCTAAACAAAAACAGGGAATTTATTACAGATAAAAATTTATTGTTGATATGTCTAATGAACTCAAAAGTGGTACATGGTACATCCTGTGCTCTGAAGTTATTTGATGAATATTCTTCACCTATAAAATACTCAGAATAAGAGCACATGAAATAAATCAGTTAAGAACAGGATACATTTCAAACACTGATGTTAAGGAGAGTGTTGGTAAAAAACTGATGGTATTGGCATAAAAGAGACATATTGATCAATGGAATTGAATCGAAGACCCAGACGTAAATCTACACACCTACGGACAACTGATTTTTGATAAAGAAGCCAGAAATATACAATAGAAAAAAGAAAGCATCTTCAACAAATGGTGGCTGGTCAAACTGAATGTTGTGTGTAGAAGAATGCAAATAGATCTGCATCTATCTCCCTGCACAGAGCTCATGCCCAAGTGGGTCAAAGACCTCAACATTAATCCAGATAAACTGAACCTGACAGATGAAAAAGTGAGGAATAGCTTTGAACACACTGGCACAGGAGACAACTTCCTGAACAGAACACCAATAAATAGCACAGACACTAAGAATGACAATTAACAAATGGGACCTCATGCAACTAAAAGCTTCTGAAAGGCAAAGAACATCATCAAGATGGCAGCCAACAGAATGGGAAAGATTTTCACCAACCCTGACAGAAGACTGATCTCCAAAATATATAAAGAACTCAAGAAACTAGACTTCAAAATAAAAAAAACCCCACAAATAATCCAATTAAAAATGGGGTACAGATCTAAACAAAATTCTCACCAGAAGAATTTCAAATGGCTGAGAGACACTTAAAGAAATGTCCAACATCTTTAGCCATTAGGGAAATGCAAATCAAAATAACTCTGAGATTCAATCTTATATCTGTGAGAATGGCTAATATTAAAACCATAAGCAACAGCTCGTGCTGGAGAGAATGTGGAGCAAGGAGAACACTCCTTCATTGCTGGTGGGAGCACAAACTTGCTCAGCCACTTTGGAAATCAATATGGCAATTTCTCAGAAAATTGGGAATTGATCCCCTCAAGACCCAGCTATACCACTCCTGGGCATATATCCAAAGGATGCTGAATTATACCACAAGGCCGCTTGCTCAACTATATTCATAGAAGCTTTATTCATAATAGACAGAAACTGAAAACAACCTAGATGCCCCGCAACTGAAGAATGGTTAAAGAAAATGTGGTACATTTGCACAGTGGATTATTACTCAGCTTTTCAAGACAACAACTTCATGAAATTTGCAGGCAAATGGATGGAACTAGAAGAAAAAAATCATCCTGAGTGAGGTAACCCAGATCCAGGAAGACAAACATGGCATGTACTCACTCACAGCTATAAAGTAAAGGATAATCATGCTACAATCCACAGACCCAGAGAGACAAAGCAACAAGGGGGGGACGCATGGATCTCCCTGAGAAGGGGAAAGAGAATAAATTTTTCACGGTCAGAAGACCGTGACGAGCTAAAGAATATCTGTAGCCAACTAGAAACTCAGATAGGCAATGTTACCCAGAAACTAAATGCACAGGTGCAAAATACCCAGGATAAGGTTGAAGAATTGGACAATGCCATTCAATCAATTATTGAAGCATCCAAGGTAGCAGATCACAAATTTGTGTCTAGATTTGAATGTTTGGAAGATAATTTACAGTACAGGGCTGACAGATTACATGGGTCCATATGGTCGATTGCTGAGGACTCAAAATCAGCAAGAATCTAGATTCCAATACCTAGAAGGCAGTTTCCATACCATCCAGATGCTGCCTAAGGACGACCATATTAAAGACCTAGAAAAACGTGTAGAGGAGCAGTTAGAACAATTTACAGATTCACTAACATGCTTGGAATCTTTTATGATTAAGGAGATTGAAACTTTTCATAATAGGCTTAAAGATCATTGGGATGCCTCAGAAGCACAGTCACTCCAATCCCAGGCACCTACTCCACCCAGGTATCGTGACTATTCTTCTAAGGTTGTTACTCATATGCCATTAGTGTACCCAGCTACCATGGTAGAAAAGCCAGCATCTAAGAAACACCCTCATGAATGGATGGCTTATGAATGACAACCTATACAGCCGAAGGATCTTAAGAATATTAAAGAATCAGTTGTCCCATATGGTTTCCATATCCCATACATAAAACAGCTATTACATTCATGGGCAACCTTTAACAAGGTGACACCCACAGATTGGGACTGATTGGTGGCAGCTGTACTTGAGAATTCATGCCAAATCCAGTG